AGTTTTGAGGTTTTGATGGTCTTGAAACATGCTGTTAGTATCTGGATTCCTCCAGTGGCAGCATGTCAGGAGACAAGCAAATCTGTATATCTTCATGGTTGGGTTCAGGTGTAGGGTTCCATCTCTTAAATCCTCTGAGACACCCAATACTGTGCCTTCAGTCTCTGATGATAGATCTTTTTTCAGCCAAACATATTCTTTGAAAGGGTTTACTGACCTGTTTCAAATCAAGAGATGAAAATCCAGAGATGCAATCAGTAGCAATTTTACACTTTCAAAGCAGCTTTCGACAGTTTTGGCAGCGCTAGCTGCTTCAGGGATGTTAAGTTGGCCCAGACTGTAATATCTAATAACTAGTGAATGGATTGCTGTGATAGTTGGCTGAGACATTCATGCCCCTCTCAAGATTAATTATACCAAATACATGCATAACTAATGACATTCCCACCTGCCTCAGCCGTTCTTTGTGTTAGGTTGTAATTTGCATGTCAGAAAATGTTAGCATGCTAATACACTAAACAAAGGACATAGTAAACATTACATAAGCATGCATGTTGACATTGGCATCGTGAGCGTGTTTGCATGACACTACTGTTTTTACATTTACTTGACAATTACTGCTGAGGTCAAAAGCATATTTTGTCCTGTGAGGCAAATTTGTGATTTTGGGATACATAAATAATGCTGACTTGACTTGACTTACTGTACATAAGTAACTGTATTAGCAAATGTGGTAGTAGTAGGTTCGGGAGCAGCAATAATAGTGATTATAAAAGGCTTGCAGTTGTAGTAGTAATTGTAATAGATGTTTTTTGTGCAAATACAGCTGGAGCAGATAGTATTCTTACAAGTATCTGTAAAGCAGGAGCATTAGATGTAGTAAAAGTCATACTTATGGCCTTTTTCCAAACATTGGATGCATTTAGTGGACTAAAATGGAGCGAAGCCTGCAAGCTAGTTCAAGCAGTACACTAGAGCTGCACTACTATACACACATGACATGCCTCACACTCCATAATCACTAACCAAGCACACCCTTCCAATCTGGCGGTCTGTTTAAGCTGCAAAATGTCCCAGGTCTCCCTCTGCTCTGTCAGTGCCGCTGTTGCCCTGCATCCGTATTGCTGCAAAATTGCACTTAACTGCAGGATGTGAGTAAATGAAGTAACACAAATTCACCCAATCCCTGTGAATTTGTGACAAAAGAATTTGTCAAATCACTGCAAAAATGTCGTGGAGGGACTGAGCAGCAGTAGTAAAGCAGCAGTTATTCCCATTACATTATGTGGCCTCATTCTTACTGTTCTTTATCTTTTTATTTCTATCCAGGCTGTAGACTCTCATTCTTGTTTGGACCAGAACGCTTAGCGTAGCAGAATTTACATGTGTTAACATAATGTGGAAGGTCTGATATGATTTGGCATCAGTCATCAGGTGTTGTTGTCCCTCTGCTGTGTGTTTGCATTCAGCACCGTGTTGATACGTCTCCGCATCAGTGACACCAAAACACATTCCTGTTGGTTTGTTGTTCTTGGCCCGATGAAGTGATTGTGATTTTGCTATCACAGCACCACACTCGGCCTGCCGGTCCTCCCTACGCCATTTGCCAGAGCATCTGTGCTGATCTGGCCACTGGATCAGTATTTGGCAAGGCCACGCTGCAGGCGGCGTGCCGTGTGTTTCAGCAGACCAGAGCTCCTCTGGGGATGCGTCGAGGGGGCAGAACACGGAACAGGTTTCTTTGCTACGGCGCCAAAACAGCAGCTGTGTGCCTTTCTGCATGTCTGTAAACATAGACAGAAGCTCAGTGCACAAAGGCTTTAGCTGGAGGTAGTGAGTGTGTCCTCAGCACTTGGCTGTGTTGTTCTGATATATCATTCTTTGAGTATCAAAGAAGGGACAGAGAGAACTTCTCACTGCTTTACCAACTTTGGTGATGAGATAAAATTGTGATGAAAGTGTTCAAAACTTCAAGCTTTTCTAATTTAGGTTTTGAATCAGTTTTATATACTGCTAGATGTTGTCTTTATAAACCTGTTCATGCCTCATAAAAAGTGTAAATGTAACTGAAAAAGAGAGCCAGATTGTACTCCAGATGCTTGATGATTGAGACACATTCTAGCCAGATGTTTAAATGCATTGTTCTCTCTACACCATATACTGTGTGCAATCTTTACTCCTACCAAGCGTAACTGTGTCAATAAGTTGTCGGTGGAGTGACTCCGAAGTCTAAAAGTGGATTTCAGATGACAATCTTCAAGCACTTTGTCATAGAAGTTGGGTGAACAATATTGTCATCCAATCAGCGTTCATAAACAATTCTACCATTATGTTAATTGGTGGGAAAATGTCCACAAAAATCAGAAAATACCCCCACTTTAAGTCGCACTCATCTCCGCTTGTCAGAATGTTATGCCACGAGAAATGGGTCAGCACAGATCCTCTTATAAATTAAATGGTGTTTCACTAGAAATAGCATTTCAGTGCTGTTCCGTTGGACAGATACTGCGCGATGAACCCATTGTGAGGGATAAAAAAAACAAAACGTCAAATCTAAACACCAGAAAGGATAAATGTGACATTTTACCAGAGCACTCTGTGTGGCAGATCATGTGGTTGTCTCTGCCTACGCAAACCAGCATCCAGCCACCTAGCATATCTGAAATAGATGGTGCTGTGGGCTTGGAACCAATGGAAACAGGGTAGAATACAAAACAGGAGTACAAGAATGCTGCATATTGTTTGTGTGAGAACAGGCCGAAGACAATGCGAGCCTTCATTGGCTTGTGTCCATTGTGCCTGGGATTTCTTGGGCCGTGTCTCAGCTGAAGAAGAGAAAGGTCTTCATTCAGCCTGCTGGGGCTTCTTCAAACCTGCCATTGTCGTCGCTTCTTCACTCCCTGTCCCAATGTTTTCCTTTCTCTTTCGAGGCTGATTGATACCTCTCTGCTGCAGAGACACAGCGTTATGTCACTCAGCACACTGTGTGGTTTTGAAAGCCCTTGACTGTTATCACTGCTGTTTTTTGTTTTGTGTCTCACCTATCTGTCCGAGTTTTGCCTCCAGTTTCTCAAAGTAGGAGAGTTGGAGAGGAGTTAGGTTACGCCTAAGGTCAACTCCTCAGTCCTTACACTAAATTACAGTGGATATTGCAATTATGTTGCCTCCCTGGGCTTTTTCCACTCAGCACTGAGCACATTTCTATCACTTCCGTCACTCATGGCAGTTTTGACCCACATCTTTTACTCTTTGTGACAATAAACCTTCGCTGTAGTTGAATAGCCATTCCCGCTGCTGAATGACATTCAATGCCATGTTGTTATGCTCCAGAATAATGTGGGAATGATGTCATTCTAACCAACAGCACCGTTAACACTGTTTAATTTTGCAGTAAAAAGGAGAGCCGGATGATAAATGGCTGCTGAAAACAGGCCTCCAGATTGTGAGCAGCCAGCCTGTTCAGTGCAGCTCTTCTGAATGATTCAGTCAAAGGAACCAAAGAGTGCCTCAAAAGAAAAGCTCCTTGAAAAAAAAAGCTTTTCTTTTTCATGTTCGTCTTGTGAGGAAGTGTCTCAAAAAATCGTGACATGCTTGTTAAAGCACCCTCCCACACACACACTGCCCTAACAATGCCACCCCGACTGCCCCGCCACCATCCTGCTTCAGTGCTGCTATTCTGCTCTGCTGGCAGATGCCCGTCTGCAAGTAAAAGAGGATTTAGCTCAGCCTGCTGCTAACTAACAAGTGTAGGAATTTGGAACGGTTTCTGTGATCTTCAGCCAGTTCTTCCTCCATTGCTCTGGTGATCACTTTTTTGGGTTTCAATGATGAGAAAACATGTTTTTTTAGAACCGACAGGTTAGGTGTTTGATTACAATTTGGTAAAAATAAGAGCCCGAGCAATACTGCATTTTTGAGGTTTAAAAAACTGATGGTATATTGGCTAATGTTTGTGATATTAAAGTAAGTGATGTTCCCGCTGATAGTTTCACACTATTCCACTGATCTACAGGTGGCGGTAATACCCACAGCAATGCACAAAGCAAAGGTAGCGAAGAAGAAGAAGACCACTTGCTACTGAATAATGCAGGTTTAAAAAATCTTTACAAATGAGGAATTAAATGCATTAAAAATGTCAAAAATATTTTACAGAAGTTAAAAAAGTGGAATCTTTTTGTTGATATTTTTGGCATATAACAAGCAAACAAACAATTAACACAGGGACACAGGTTTAGAACCACCTGGAAAATAAGTATATAGCCAGGACATGTTCATTTAGCATGTAAAGACTGGAAACACATCATCTGGCTCTTTCCAAAATGTAAAAAAAATCTACCTACTCGTTTAACTTTAATGTTAAAGTTCATTTATTACTTTAGATCTAAAAACAACAAGCTGTAGTTTTACAGGAAATATTTCTGTTCGAATAGGGATTTTACAACCAACGTTTTACAGCTAAGATTTGCTGGGGTCGCCTTGTAGACTTGCTTTAGGGTCCATGGGTTCAACTCGCCCACATTGTCACTCTTCGGCTATCGCTATCAATTATAGGCAATAAAAAAGAGTTGCCATTTCCTAATACTTCATCATCAGCCTTCATATTCACATAAATCTGTGATAAGCTAAAACCTGCCAATAATATCGGCTGTGCCAATGTATCGGTTGGCTTTGGTAAAACTGACCTCACACATTTATGTCTGCATCAAGTTAACACCTACTGTAAACTGTGAAAGTGTACTAGTGAAATTATCACACCTGCACAGTCATTGAACCTGTTGACTGACTGATGCTGTGTTTCCTGACATACCGCATGTGTTTTTGTTAGTTGTAAACTGTTTACTTGTGACTGTTTCATGAATACACAGTCTCTTTTTGTGTGTGGGAATGACTCATCTGTTTGTGCATATTAAAAAACACACCTGTGGTGTTCATCAAACATTCTCTCTCTCTCTCTCTCTCTCTCTCTCTCTCTCCCTCTCTCCCTCCTTCTCTCTCCTCAGATTGTGCAGTCTGACTCTGAAGAAGCTGGTTGTGATGAGAGAACTTGATAAAGAGCTCATCTCTGTGGTCATAGCGGTTAAAATCCAGGTATGCTAAATAAACAGACACACCAAGCTGCACATACGAACAAATATAATGTCCACCTGTCCTGTATATGATGAAGAATATGATTATATTTTACTGTTCAGTCCATTTTCAGTCCATAACTTAGTGTTACTTTTAAAATTGTCCACCTTCATGTTGTAAGAGAGAGAACATCATATTATAACCTAACTTTGACAATAATCAAACCAGTTACTGAAAGAAGAAAATGGCATAAATGCCTTCAAACATGTACATAAGATAGTTTAGGTTGCTTGCAAAATTCACAAAATACTCAGTGAAGTACATGAGTTCTGTAGTAAATGTTTTAATACTAGTATGGTGTCTTAAAATATGTTGAATCTTGCTGAATTATTCATGCTGTGCACCTTTGCTGCAGAGATGCAGAATACTTCCAGGGGAAAAACTCCCTCCTAATTAAACACCAACCTTTTTTTTTTTTTTTTAACAGGGCTCCAAACGGATTTTGAGGTCCCATGAGATAGTGCTGCCACCCAGTGGGTCTGTGGAGACCGATCTGGCTCTCACCTTTTCACTGCAGGTAAAAAGAAATATCACCATGCTGCTGTTTGGTCCAAAATAAACATCATAGGTTACCAAATAATTTTAAGGTCTTTATTCGCTGTTTTTTTCATTGAAGGGAGATTTTACAGAGGTGAGTGTGTGTGGGATGAATTTTATTACACCCGTTGCCATGGCAACTGTTCCAACTTCCATTAGATATCAATGAGATATGAAGCTCTCTTTTCTGTATTGCGGAAATACTGTCTAGAGATTCATCTCTTCTGTGAAAAAGATAAGGGTGGCAATATTCTATATTTTTGTTATTGTCAAGAAATCTCATAAAAAGATCAAAAGCAACAATATTTTAGTCCTTCTTTCAATTCCTTCAGACTTTTCCAGCTTTCCTTGTTCCTACTGAGGATGTAAAACTTAAAAAACAGGTCATAAATATATCCTTTTGGTTATTTCAGAGATTTCTGCATTTAAGTTTTTGTCTTTGTTCCTCTCACTGGTTTATAGAGGGCGTGGCTCAACCACATATTGAAGCAGATTAGATTTTGAGTTTTTGAGTGTTAAAGTCTTTATAGGTAACTAAGGATGTTTTTTTCTGAACTTAAACTGTAATCACTATTTAGTCGATAATATTTAACGTATTAGACGTATTATTACTTTCATGGGCTTTATTCAAGTAGTAGTGAATAGTGTATTTATTGGACTTCAGTATGTGGGATCAATTCAAGATAACCTAAAGTAAACAGTTCATTTTCATAAATAAACATGTCACCAAGTGCAACAGTGTGTCTCACTGATGTCTTTGTAATAGTTTTTGGACAACAATGGAGCTCTATGGCACAGAGGAACAAGAAATATCTTTATATACACAATAAGAAAAATATATAGCATCACTACCAGTTAAATTAATGAGTAATTTGTACCTTTTGCTTTCTTTTTCCCGGTTTCCTCCCTTTTCAGTACCCTCACTTCTTAAAGCGAGAAGGAAACAAGCTGCAGATCATGCTGCAAAGGCGAAAGAGATACAAGAACCGAACTATCTTGGGCTACAAGACCCTTGCAGTGGGATCCATTGATATGGCCGAGGTAGAGTATGACGACGGTGCAACGAACCCGTTTTCGTGTTCGTATTAGATGTAATTGTTGGTTTGTGTCATTGCTGTTTGCAGTATGTAAAGGATACCAAGATTGTACATTTGCTGCACTTTCTGTGAAGTCTCGGGGCACGCAGGAGCAGAAAAATGCATCAGCCCTAACAGGCTGTTAGTGTCAGGACTGGTGTGAAAATATAATGAGGAAATGGTCGATGTTAGCAGGCTCTGGCCTCCACAACTTCACATAAGGTTTTGCTGAGCCTCTTGCACTATAACTACTGGCTCTTAAATAAGTTGTCTTGCCCTCCAATTAGTCTGAAGATAATACATTTTTATCTTTGAAAGACTTAAAGGTCCAGTGTGTAACATTTAGGAGGAGCTATTGGCAGAATAGGAATATCATATTCAAAGTAGTCAGTAACGTTTAATCACCTGAAAATAAGAAGAGTTTTTTCATTACCTTAGAAATGACTCTTTATCCTTCGAGGGAGCGAGTCCTCTTCTACAGAGGCAGCCACGTTGAACCACCATCTACAGTAGTCTAGAACAAACAAACCAAACACTGCCTGTAGATTGGGCCTTTTGCGTTTCTAGTAAGTTTCGCAGCTACCATAGTTTCTCCTACATACTTGGAAGGCTGAGCTGTATTCAAATGGTTGCAATCGGTATCCTAAACCTAACCATACACACTTGTCCTTTAATATAATTACTTTTTCTCTGTTCAAGCCTGCTTTGTTCTTAGATGTGAAGAAAACTTCCAACTTTTGACTCCATGGACAAATTTCTTGTGTTTTAATAAAATCAGGAATACATAAATACGGGACCTGCTTCAGATTAATATTCTTCAGTGCAGATGTTGCTGCAGTTCCCATATGGCTGACAAAGCTCAGTGGAGCTTATTAAGGTCACATCTCAGCAGCTGAGAGAAGACAAAAAAAAACAAAAAAAACACTTTGGCGCCTGGGAGGAGGAAAAAAGAGAAGCAGAAACAGAGAGTTGTACTTAAGCACAAGAAATAAATGCTTCTCGCTTTTTCAACTAAAGGATACAAAGGGGCTCTGACACAACATACCACACAAGATACAGTGTAAATTGCTAAAGGCTGACATGGTCTCGCTGGACTGCGCTACAACAAAGAGAGTCATCCAGATTTGGGGCGGTGCCGTCCTGAAATAACCTGGGTTTGTGATGCTGCTTTAATAGTGAAGCCTCAGTTTCAAATAGGAGGAAACTGTGGGTGGTTAAACCGCAGCACCCAGGTGTGAATATCTAATGAATATAGGTAATTAGGATAATTAAGATTGCTCCTAGTTGGGAGGTTAGGGTCATTCTCTCAAAGCTTAATTCACAATATTATCTTACAGGAATATTTTTGGCAAACTAAAATGTCTTCTTGCCAAGAGTTAAATGAGAAGATTGATACCACTCTCATATCTAAATCTAATAATACACATTAAACTGCAGCTGGTTAGTTTAGCTAAGACATTCATAGTATTCACTGTTAAGACAGAAATAGTTCCGTTTTTATTTTAGGGAGAGAAGTTCAAACCCTGGCTTCTTTGTCACCTGTGACAAGCACTTCAGACAGAGTGTAATGTACTGCCCCCCTCAACCGTCTCCTGGCTGTAGCTTCATATTTGCCATTCAGACATGAGAGTCAATCTTTTAATCTCACTCTGAGTGAAGAAAGCAATTAACCTTATTTCACAAAATGTCAAACTGTTCTTTTAAATCAAAGCCCACAACACAAATGTGACTTTTACAGGATTGTCTACTTACTATACTTTGAAATCTAGTTTTAAGCAATACAGTGAGGACACCAATACAGCTGTGTTGAATGATTGACCTGAATATTTAAAAAGTTATAGCTGTTTTGACTGTGTGTGCACGTATTGTTATATGCCTCAGTGGCTTGAATTCCCAGATGTCTGTGATAGCATCCAAATTCCAACATTCAAGTAAAATTGAACAACAACAAGCGCAGTCTCTGAGCTTGCAATGCATTATGGTATAGAGTTTACTACAGATAGAGAACCTGATATCTCTACAAAAATGAAATACAGCAATTTTGCCCTCAGTGTTAATGTCTCCAAAGGGCAGAGGTGACAAAAGTACACACATTATTTAATCAAGTAGAGGTACAGATACTTAAAAAAAAAAAAAAAGTGGAAAAGTACAGACTCTATAAAGTATAAAAGTGAAAAGTACTCTGTTGGTTGCTCTGCAGGACATTTCTACTGGCTGTCTCCCTTTCTTGTCTGTTTCGTCTTGTTACGTGTTTTACGTGATGTGACGTCTGTTGTGTGTGATATGCACCAATAATTGCCCTCAATTGCCTTAAAACTAAAGTAATGAGCTGGTTTTAAAAATGTAAGGAGTAGAAAGTACAGATATTTGGGGAAAAAGGGAAAAAGTAAATAGATACCTGGAAAAACTACTTAAGTACAGTAACACAGTAACAAAACTCATGAAGAATCAAAAGAACTGAGAAATGATCTCAGATCAGTCATTCTCGCTGTGGTGGATCATTTCTCTCACTACATTTCTTCCCCCCTCTCATGTTCTGCCTCTGCTCCCTTTTCTTTCACCTCTCCCAGGTGATGCAGCACCCGACAGAGGGAGGCCAGGTCCTGCCTCTCTGCAGCAACCAGAAAGAAATGCTGGGGAAGGTGGCAGAGATCTGGATCTTTTCCCTGTCCAGTCAGCCAATAGACCACGAGGAGGCAGCCCTGCAGGGAGGACAGAAGATCAAATGCTCCGGTACACGTTGCCACTCATTACCCCCGGTGTTGTGAGGTTAAAACAGCAGGAAGCCATCATAATCACCTAATATGCTCGATGGGCTTAATAGAGCAGGGATCACAGGTTTCAAGGTTTTCTTGCTAATCGTACAGAAAGCGATTTAAATTCAGGTAGAATACAGCTCTCTGTGTGTGCTGCACACATCATGTATATTTAGAGCCTGGCTGCATGTCAAATTTAAAAGGTTCATTGAAATATGTATGAGGGATCTTCTACGCCCTACAACCTCTAATCTCCCTACTTGTCCTCTGCTTTAGATAACTACTCAGAGGAAGAGTATGAGAGCTTCTCCTCGGAGCAGGAAGCCAGCGACGATGCTGTGCAGGGACAGGTGAGTTGGCCTGGAAATTATTGGTGCAAACTGACTTTTAAGGGTCATGAGGCAAAGCACTTTACCTCATTCTGGTCAACGGCAAGACGGTTGGCGATCAGTTGGAGCATGAGGTTGGAAGACGTGTAAATAATGCATTTATGTGTCTTAACTTCCTCTTCATTGTTTTCAGGATCTAGAGGATGACGAGTACGATGTGAGAAAGCCAAAGAAGCAGAGGAGGTCGATTGTGAGGACACCCTCCATCACCAGAGTAAGAGATGTGAACCAGGGATTAAAGGAGCCCCAACTGAAGTATAAGTTTAGTTTGAGGAACCATGACATGACAGTCTTTGCAGAGTTCCCACACTGTGACCTCTAGTTTTATGGTGGTAAACTTGGACAGGTGCAATAACTTTATGGAGTCCTCCCCCAGGTTAGCTGTTTCTGTCACAAGGTGTGTATGAGGCAGCAAGGAAAAGGCCCCAATTGCAGACAACCAGACAGGTGGGAACAGTTCAGAGATATTAATGCTAAAATAATAAAATGTGCACACTCGTAAGTGAAGTAAAATCTAGGAATTGACTGGGAAAAGGGCCTGGTATTTACACACACACAGGCACCCAGGATTGATGGAGAATGTTTGAGGGCATCTGATGGAAAGGAGGAGAATGCCAATGAATTCAAAGCCTCATAGAAATGCAGGGACCTGGGGAATTGAGGATGTGTGTGAAATGAGGGTTGGAGAGACAGAATGGGAAAAGATAAAAACAACTAAGGCAGCTATTGTGACAGTTTCCCCCTGTTTTCAGTCTTTTATGCTGAGCTATGGTAATCGGCTGCTGGCAGCAGAGCCATATTTAATGCACGGACTTGAGAGTGGTATTGATCTTCTCTAACCCAATAATCTAATTCTCAGCAAGAAAGCAAATAAGTTGATTTAAAAAAGTTACTCCTTTTAAGATGAAGTTACATTTGGGAAACAGTGGCTTGTTATGGTTACATTTGCATGCATTTCTGTGGGCCTTTCATTTAATGACACTAAATTCTACAACAATGCAACCGCACTAAACTAAACCTTACAAAAAAATTCTGCCTCAATATATGAAAATCATTGTCAGTATATCTCAAAATCAATTCCAAAGACAATTTTTTTATGTGACAAGCCCATCTGATCTGGCCGAAGCTTTCCTGATGCACTGTAAAGTAGTACAGGTGACTGAGAACATCCATCTTTTTACCTCAGATGTACAGTAGTGGTCGATGAGTTTAGCATACAGTAGCTGAGGAGTGCTCAGGTACTGTAGTCGAATGTGCTTCTAAAATAAACATTTCCATTAGGTCCTTATTATGATTCATTTGCAGATATTCAGCACCTTTCAGTGAACTTTAATGAGACAGTTTAACTATGTTTTTTTTCTCGTGGGTGATATGGTTTTATAGAGCTCAGTGAGCAGAAGCAGGATATGAAAGCCCCAGAAAGCAGATGAGGCATGATGTTGCTTGATTATTGATTTACATGAGCACACGCAGCAAAATCGATACCCAGCCAACACTGCAAATGTATCTACTGCCGGTAAAATTACTAAAATGGAGGAGCTCCAGCTCAGCAGCAGCTGTAGCTGTTATCTCTGTATTGGATTGCTGAGAGTACTGTAGTAAATCATAACTAGGTCACAGACTGACTTGTGGTTGTGTGTTTATTCTCTTGTGTTTTAGCAGCAGAACTTTAAACAGCGAGTGGTGGCTCTTCTGAAGCGGTTCAGAGTTTCAGACGAGGTGGGTGTTTCTGTCTCATGTTGATGTGGGAATTTAGTTTTCTCTTGTTTGTCTACTGTGGAGCCACTGAGCTACTGAAGATGTACTGTCTGTACTTGTGTGTGTGTGAAGGTGTTGGACTCAGAGCAGGACCCTGCAGAGCCGCCTCCTGAGGTGGAGGAAGAGGACCTGGACCTGGACAGTGTGGAGTTTGAGAACCCGAGTGACAGCGGCCCGGAGCTTGATGACGACGACAGCGTCCTCAGCACACCAAAACCCAAACTCAAGTGAGTGTTTCTCAGCAGTAATGAGTGTGTGTGTGTCTTTATTTGGGAGAAACCTGGCTTACGTTGCAGGCCAAATAATGATAATAAAGTTAAAAAGCTTCATAAAAGTTTTACGCAGCCATTTTGACATATGGTAGTAGTAAACATGAGTTTCACCAATGATACTAATACAGGTTTTGTTCCATTCAGGTCAAACAGAGTCAGGTTGCTGCTGTTGTGTATGTCAGCTCACTGGAAATGCTCTGCTACACTAAATGGAACTGAACCTTAATGGGTGTGACCTAGTTATGGCTCTCTAGCACGTGGAAAAAGCAAACTGGTTCTTTGAAGGTTCACAAGTTGAACCAACTTCCAAACCCGCACTAGAACCAGCCCAGAACTAGCACTAGGTTCACGTTGGGTAACGTAACAGGCACCACCTATAGGCTAGGTGTCAGCCCAGTCCCGCCCACTGCAGCAATGTATGAAAGATAAAATGTGTTTTTTGAACATTGAAGTATGTAAACCTATTATAGTAGACCCACCATTTCCTTAATTGTTCCTTAAACCCTGCAGCAAGTCTGAGGTTGCTTTACTATAAATGTTAGCCTTGTTATTGAAGCTGTATTTAGCCAATAGTTTGTGCTTGTACTCTATGATAGTGACATTTTAATGATTAAAATTATATTCAGGGTTTTCTTTAGGTTTTCTTTTTAAAACTTTTATATAATAGGACATTTTAACATATACTCATAAAGTTGAGAGTATTACAGCAGTGAAGCATTGCATATCTGCAAGTAAAAACGAGAAACCAAAACAAAGCAGCAGAGGCTGAGACATCCTGGCTTTCAGATCCTAGTGTGAGTCAATTGCCATTAATTCTGGATCTTTCACTTCCCTAAATTCAATTCACCAGTGTCTTTCTTTCTTTTTGCCTTGTTAACACCTGTGTCTCCAACTCCACACCCCCAGTTTTAAATGCTGGTCTAAGTCTAAAATGCAAATCAAAGTGTAAAGTCAGGTAGAATTTAGTATTCCATCACTTACTGTACGTATTCTGTACTTTATTGAATGGTACCATACTTAAAACACTGTGATCTATACTGACCAACTGACCCATATCAGTCAATAACAGTCATGCAGAGACAAACTGATTTGTGTTTGTTTTCTTAACTTCAGCCCAGATTGTTTCCTGTGTTTCAGGCCATATTTTGAGGGTCTCTCCCTCTCCAGCTCTCAAACTGAGATCGGGAGCATCCACAGCAGCCGGAGCCACAGGGAACCTCCCAGCCCGGTGAGACCGACGTTACTGCAGCAGCAGAGTGATTAACACAGTGTGTAAAAAAACAGCCATAAATAACTGCAGCAGCGGAGCAGTTCTCCTTCTGCATATTTCGAACATGTGACTTCAGTTTATGCAAAATGAGATCAGCCTTTTTCTGCTTCTTTGTGTGCCTGATCACATGCCCACCTCAGACCCCTGCTCCTTCTACATTTACCTAACCAAACGGGGTTACTAATACCACAGTGGAACAGCTTGAGGCCGACCAGTGCAACCACTGAACTGCACCAATGATCAAATCCTCTGGAGCAGAAAGGCATTCATTTTCCCGCTTTAGGGACTCTTTCACTGAAGTACAGAAGTGTAAAATTTCACTTCCTCCGCTCCGATTTTCCCATCAGTCCACAGGTTCAAACCAGTTATAATATGACCAGCAGTTTGTTTATGAAACTGTAGGGCTTCTGTTGAATGAAACAATGCTTTACTTTCTGTGAAATAAAAGTTCCTGGGACTCCATCAAACCCAGATAATGTTTATTATTCTTCTCACCATCTCATTCCAGATTGACCCAGATAAAACCAAGTGTGGTGGGGCCAAATTTCCAGATGACAGTGTGTCTGACAACGTCTCTTTTGTGAGTATCAGCTCTTAAAGCTGCTTGAGATCAATAACTGGCATCAGTATTTATTATTGTAAGTCATTATTTTGAGGAAAAACATGGTAAAATGAGCCTTCCAGCCTTTTAAACATTTAAAAAATTGCACATTTTAAGTTATGTATGTCTTTTTATGTTGCCTTGTGTTTCCCAATGCCATTCTGTCTAATGTAAAGCACTTTCTTTTTATTGCCTTGTTGTTGTAAGTTGTAGTCTCACATTCACTTCACATACAGTAAGAAGAGATACATTTTAGGGGTTAATAGTCAAGTTTGCAATCATAAACAACCAGACACAATTAGAATAAATCATAAGGACAGTCAAAACATTTAAGGTGTGAAAAAGTGTTGTTTTGAGAAAGAGAAAAATGCATAAACACATCTGTCAGCTCCTAACCCTGTTTTTCTCTCTTTTGTTTCCCCTCAGGAGCAGCCAGAGGCGGTGACTCCGACCACAGAGCTGGAGATGGACAACATGGACACATTTTTAGAGAGACTGCCACCAAGTGGCAAAATGACCAAGACAGAGTCCCTAATCATTTCATCCAACAGGTAGAAATATATAAAAAAGAATAACCCACTTCTTTAAAGCTTTGATACACATCATAGTAAGATGGGTTTTTTTTAAAGCTCACATAAATCTTTATGATAAAAATTCACAGAAAACAACACGATAGATGTAACAAACTGATGTGAATTCAGTGTTAAAAGGGGAAAATAGTGCATCAGGTTTTGATTTGAATCGATATTTGTGTCTTTAATCATCACCTACAGATCAGGATTGTACTTGCTGTTGTTGACCATCACATCTCTACCAGTCCTCCATCTCTCTTCCTCTGCTGTTTTCATTTTTTAGGCAAGAACCGAAGTTGGCAGGGAGGCGAGGCAGGAGCACGTCACTGAAGGAGCGCCAGCCCAGCAGGCCGCAGAACGAGAGGGCCAACAGCCTGGACAACGAGCGGTCCCTGGACACACGCTGCCACCTACAGGTAGGACGAAAGAACTGCAAAAAGAAAAATACAGTGACAGTTTTACCCCAGTTGTTGACCCTATATATCAGTTAATATGACAGGCATAACCTCTCTACAAGCCATTATGTCTGGCAAAGTCCTGGCAAAACAACTCAGTCACTTTAAAGTTTTGAATCTTCCAGATTCACTTGAAGAAAATGTCATATTTTACGGTCCTTACATCAAAAATATGGGCCCTTATTTTAACCCAAAGGTTTCTTATTTCACCTGCCTAGATCCCAAGAAAGACAGTGTATGACCAACTAAACCACATCCTGGTGTCTGATAACCACCTCCCTGACAGCATCATTCTCATCAACACATCGGACTGGCAGGGCCAGGTAAGGAATATTAGCGCAAGCTTGAAATGGCTCCTACTTTGCATATGTTTTTTTCTTTATACTTGCCTTGGTAATCACCATTTCTAAAAAAGGTGAATAGACTGTTGAAAATCTTTTTTTGTGAAGCATTACTTCTTTTTATGAATGTTAAAAGGTAGCTGGTAATAAATTATTTAACCGCAAAATACAGTGCGGTGAAATGTTTTTCATAATGAAGTCATACAGTTTTCAGTTTGAGTTTTTGCCACTCATCTGTTTCTCCTTCTCTCTCAGTATCTTTCAGATATGCTGCAAAACCACCATCTACCAGTGGTCTGCACCTGCACCACAGCCGACATCCAAGCTGCATTCAACACCATCGTCTCCCGTATACAGAGATTGTAAGTCAGCCTCTCACATGCTGCTGAATAAACTGTATTTAATAAGAAGAGTTTACTATGTGAAGTCTTCTTTCCCTGTACCAAATTTGATGGTTTCGATTGTAAGCTGTGTATTTATCTTCTTTTCTAGTTGCAACTGTAACTCCCAGACGCCCATTCCCATAAAGATCGCAGTGGCTGGAGCGCAGCACTACCTCAGTGCTGTTCTGAGGCTTTTTGTGGACCACCTTTCCCATAAGACCCCTGACTGGCTCGGCTACATGAGGTTCCTTATCATCCCTTTAGGTTAGGTTACAGTCTAATCCTAATGCCACTCTCATGTTTTTGTTTTTCTGGTAATATTTAAAAGTGCTATATTTGTCCAAATGCTATAATTACTGAAAATGGATAAGTAACCTCCTAGAGACTTCTGGTAATGGTATTAGTGTTTCTCAAAAATTGACCTTAATTTTCTATAAAATGTGCTGCTTTTGGCTTTTCTGATGAGACAAGCATGTCGGAAAAATTATTTTTCCATCTTTCTTTCACTCCTCTCACCACCTGCTATTACCAGAAACTCTAAAAAACTGTAGATCATCTCACACTGGAGGAACTGCGTCATCCTCCTACTTTGTCCTCAAACTAACACATGTTGCTGATGGCAACAAACCAGAGGAGCTCCGCAGATCATCTCTGTTGGTCTTATTTGTTATTATATTAACTTAAAACACTGCATCTTTAAAAGCTGTTTGTTGTCTGATTTTGACTGTTTTTCCTTTTAATTGGGTTTAGGCACACATCAGTCTCCAAATATCTCGCAACTATTGACTATCGATACAAAGTTTGTTCCAGGACGCTGCTTGGAGGGACCTGTTTCACAAGCCAGAGCTCCCTGTTGTTGGTGGGCTCTTACGTCTTACTGACGATTAAATACCTATTTTTTACGTTTCCTAGTAGTCTTTAGAGAACATCTGCATATGGATGAACTGGTCATTTTTGCCTCTAAGTTTACAAATTTGTATTTGAAATTAAGAAATGGATGTGAGCATCTTGATTTATGTTTTCTGATAATGTGTTCAGGTACTATACGTCAGTAGTAAGAGAATTAAATCACTGTGCCCTGGTGCAGCCCAGGAGAACCAGACGTAGTGTCAAGGGTAACTCAGTACATGATGGGAGCTAAACGGAAGCTCAACCAGCTTCCATGCGCAGAGGCCATGCTCACCCTACAAACAGAAAAGAGGTATGTTTTCTTTCCTTTTCAGGATTTAATCTCCATTTATAAAGGTCTGAGAAATACGCGTGAGCGTTTACAGAAGTGGGGAGGGAAAAACTTCAAATGTGTTTTTTGTGAGTAACACTGAAAAAAGTCTGGAGGGCTTCATCTAACAAGTGCTTCTAATGCCGAGCTTTCAGCAGTTTTTAAAAAGGGGATTGAACTGTTATGGAAAAGATTGACTGTGAAAAGTGATAGCTTGCTTTTTAAAAAATACATTTCATAAATTTTTTTGAATTACTTACAATTCTGGCACAAGCTGATGCGAGCGGAAAAACATCCTTCAGTAAAAGTGAAAACAGGAGATTTCACTGGTTGCAATTGTGAAACAAAATTCAGTTGATTAACAAAGCAAAAGACAAGATGCTGTAAGTTAGATGAAGGGTATTTCTAAAAAATGAATTGGGCATATTTTTGTTTCACATCGGCAGCACACATGTTGAAATATTTTGTTACAAGATGGTAGTGGAGTAAAAATTAATGGTTCAAAAAACGCTCAAAATGGACTATTGGGAAGAGAAGAAGTGGATTAGGAGTACCCTCTGCCACCTAGTTATCTCTGGTTCTTGAACCAGTTCCGTTCTAGGATTCAACAAAAACATTCAATAATAAATGTAATAATAAAATAATTTATATTAGGCATAAACCTGCCTCCTGTCTGTAGCTACAGAACGCTTTGAATCTGCCCAGTTTGACAAATACAGCTTTAGTGTCAAATTAAACTGCTAATTGTGGAAGGCGGTTGCCACTAGCAACATAATGTCCCACTGAAACAACTTGTTGGTGGTAAATAGTGACGAATTAATTCAAGGATTAGTGTGTGGAAATAAAAATGAATAATATTTACAAATTTTTAAACAAATGTTTTCAACCCCTTTTGAAAACAAAAAAAAAGGTAAAGTTTCACTAAATGTTGTGAGTTTGTGTTGGATGTGCGGCGTCTGACATGGGGGGGGGGTTGTCTTCTAAAACGATCACTGTCTTTCCTCCACTGTGTGTGTGAATACATGTTTTATCTTTTTGTTGTATTTTTTTGATTTTCTTTCTTTGAAGGAAAAAGAGCTTTCAATTTTGATTTTGCAGTAAGGTATTGTGGTCGATTGAGTTTGATTTTATCACGTAGCTTGGTGTGATTCATGCGCTGATTGGAGTTCCCTTTGAACCACTCTCAGCCTTTGCTGGAGCTTGGTCCTTTAACAGCTTGAGAGATGTTTCTTTTTTATTAACAGCTCGAACCATGAACTTCTCAGATAAGATTCTAATCCGCTCTAACACACAAGTTATAAAGAACAGAAGCAAGCAGACACAGAATGAGATTTTCTTGAACTAATAAAGCTGCACCAGGCAATGTTTTTATTTATCAGCTAGACATCAGATGCAATACAGAAGAGAGTCTTATTCCTACCAAGAACACTCTAGCATCCGTCCTTTTTGCCCAAATTAAATTGTGGTTAGGCCAAATCTAACCCAAATTTCACATTTTGGTCACTTTCAAACAAAGGGAAATTCATGAAAAAATAAAAATGTTGAGAATGCAAAAAAATAAAATCAAGAGAAATGTGGACTTATTCTAAATTACATCTCTGCCTCCCATCTGTTTGATATATTTTTGTGGGCGGTGCAGAGTAGATACTTTACCCTATTTCTGGGTTGTAAAATCAATGTCTTGCTGCATTTTATATCTGACATTAGCTTGCAGAAATATTGGTGCAGCTTTTAAAATTGCCGAAGCTGCAATCAAAATACTCTTAAATTAAAGATGTACACTTAAGGAAAAGAGAGCTGAAGTCAAACAGAACCTCTGGGCTCTGTTCCAAAGTAAGAAGATCAGTCAAAATCCATTGAACATTTGTAACTTCATTTCAATGATAACTGAATCCAGGCTTGGAACCAGAAGCCTTTCTCAACACATCTTGACATGACATGAATCTTGTGTGTTTTCGCTTTATATGTCTAGATAAGAATGGTAGTTTTTTGGAAAACAATCTAAAACTAACTACCAATTTAAACACATTTCCCAAAAGCAGAAGACAAGTTCACAAGCAAGTCCAGGGGTCACAGTTAGTTCAAACATGTCTGTTATAACAGCATATTAATATATTTTTTTTAAACTTTATTTAAAAAAATCATATGTGTATCTATGAAGCTACAGCAAGCAGCTTAGATAAAGAACTAGAAAGAGTGGAAATGACTAAAAATCTAATTAACATGCTACATATGTGTATATTTGTAAATCTGTACAGAAATATAGTGTAAAAATGATTTATTGTTGAATTATGTGTGGACTATTTCAGCCAGGAAATAGACTTCCCCATAATGCCACGTAGAACCCACCAAGATTTTCTTTTTATGCTCAGTTAATTGTGTGGATTTTAACAAACATGTTATTTGAATGAGATTTTAGAAATTCTGGTTAGCAGATTTTGTTCCATTTGGAAGAGCCAGGCTAGCTGTCCCCCTAGTTTACAGTCTTTATGCTAAGCTAAGCTAACCACTCCTGGCAGTAGCTTTGCATTTCATCATGTGAAGAGTGGTATCGATCTAACTCTCAGGGAGAAAGAAAATAAGCGTATTTCCCAAAATATCGATCCAACTATTCCTTTAAGTGCTTCATGCATCAGTGTGTTGCAGCATAAATGATGAGTTTCTGCATGCTCTTGTTGTGGTTAGTTTATAAATCAGGCATCTATGAAGATTATTATTCCTGGCATTAATGAAAGAATGTCCTCAACACATAAATATAATTCTGACTTCTCAGTTTCTACTCCACTGATAAGGAGTGACTAAAAGGTAAAACGTGCTGATAAAGTGGCAAGAGACCAATTCAATCAGCTCTGTCTCCTCCCTCCTCTTCCTCCTCCTTTTTCTTCTGTTTCTTCCTCCCTGCTGTTTCCTCTCCGTGATCTCCATGTGCTTCTGGCCATCCATGTCTGTCTGTTATTTGTCCCGTTAGAAGTAGAAAACCTGCACCCTGTCAGTAAAATGACAACGTCAAAGTGCGATTAACAACCTTAACCAGCAGGATCAACATTTAGGTTACATGTTTGGTTCAGTGTAGTCTAATGTCACCATCAAATTATGATTATGATCAAATAATCAAGTGTCATGATGGACTGTACTACTGAGCCTGTTTTAACATTATATTAATATATTTTTTAAATATATGCAATTATGTTTTAATGCTATAGTCTTAATGCTTAAATCTACAAGCTTATTTTTAGGGTGAATTTGGCAGAGCTGAGTATTTTTGGCAGGTGGCACTAACATTTGTTTTTCACATAAAATATGTTAAAAATGTATTTGTCTCTGAACAATCACACATTTTAAATGTCAAATTGGGAAAACTTTTTGGAAATTATTAGGGAATTATGCAGAAAAACTATGGATCTAATCATATAACCTATAGCATCAAAAATAAAGTTGCAAAGTACCTTTAAAAAATAAATAAAATCCAGAATGTAAAAGATACAACAAGACAAATGACAATTAGAAACAACTGCAACAACTTTCATTATATATAAATGTATATAATGTAAATATAATGGTAACATTATCACTCATTCATTATTAAAAAGATACTAATACCACTTATTCCAACCTAGAAACTAGTGTTAACAGAGATGCAGAACTAGTGCATGTGTTATGTCCATACAGTAGTTCTACGTCCATCTACATGGATTGACATGCATGTGCATCTTTTAGCCGATACATCATTTAAGCCAATATATGGATCAGACACATGAGACAGAGGCCATGTGTTCTGTCATAATCCATTCCTGCAAGGCGAGATGAACATAAATCACTCACATACCAGGCAGACATCTGGCTTTCTGTCTCTGGCTGCTCTAAAACCGATTACAGCAGAGTTGTGTTGTGTTGGGAAAGCAAAACGTGGCTTTGATTTGCAAACTGTGACCTACTGCACACTGTCTTCTCTCCTTCTCTCTCCTCCTCTGTAGTCTCTCTGTTTCTTCCCTGGGGGGGCGATGGCAGGTTTCCTCAAGGCAAGAGCAACAACCTTTCACATCATCAAACGTCTTTACATTTAGAAAACGTAGAGCTAGAACCATTCAGGCAATTTTTCTGGTTGTTGCCAGGAAAATAGTTCATGGAAGGCTTGTAAGTGTAGTCATGCGCTACCGGTACAGGTAGTGCATGGAAGCGGAGAAGTTTTGGATGTAGGTTGGTGCTCTTCCTTCTCATCCACTTCTTTATGACTCTGTAGTGTTTAGTTGCTCCCCTGATGGACTTGCTGCCTCCTGAATGCCCTTCTGAGTTTGGTTTGGTAGATCCAGTCTGTCTCTGCGATAGCTGGATGGCTTTGTCAGAGGCCTTGAATCGGCCAATAGCTTGCATGTTTTGCTCTCTGCTTCTCCAACTACAATAAGGGGCCTGCAGTTGGGAACTGAATCTGTTTTAGTGGTGGTTCGAAGCCCAGCAGCAAGTGCAGCATGCTCTGTTGATTCTGTTTGGGTTGTGATAACGTTGCATACTTTCTATGCAATGGACAACAACTGTATTTCCAGATGTGATTCATTGGAAATCAAAAGTCAGCATTAACAAGTTACTAATTACTAGATCTCAATGTTACTAACTGTAGATGCAATTTCCTTGAATTGTTATCTTTTCACAGCAAAGTTTTGAGTTAGTTCCTTGAGATTTGATTCGATATTCATCTGTACATAATTTCTTCCCTTTTTATCATAACATATTGATTATTTTCTTGCCTCCTTTTTACTTGAACTCTCTTTTGGCTTCTGCTGCCTCTCCACAGCCCTGATGAGGACTCATGTCAGAAATTCATCCCTTTCATTGGTGTAAGTAGCCACTTTAATTCCAGATTCCCCCCTAAATATTTACTGTGTGTTACAAGTAATAACCCTTTACATCCTGTTTTTGATGCTGCAGATGGTGAAAGTCGGCATCGTGGAGCAAACATCTGCAACATCAGGTGAGGAATTAGTTTGTATTTGGATGTTTGAAATTTAAAAAAGATTCATGTAAAACATTTTTTATTATTAAACGTTTTTACATACTAAGCTGCACCAAAGCATCTCAAAGTTACACCAGACACCTTTGCACATCTGCAGCTCCAAACAAAAGCATTTCTCCACCTGAATATAGAAATATATTTTCTGGAAATAAATTGACTGTTTTCTCCCCTTTAGGAGACTCTGATGACGCAGCACCTCTGGGTTCCTTGCTGCTCTCGTCCACTCCTCCACAAATATCACCCGCTCTCAAAGAGGCGTCGCCCACCCCACCTTCCTCACCCTCTGTCACCACTAGCTTCTGTGCTTACAGGTATAATGTGATGTCTGGTGAAGAGCTATTTCAGCAAAATGCAGCAAAAAAATTTAAATTTTTTAAATTTGAATATAAAAATTATATATTGTTATTTTTATTTCTTTTACACATTTTGTAAAGCAGGTGTAGTTAATAAATTATTTAAATTATACATAAAAAGAGTTATAGATGAAGGTATTTCCACAATACACACCTCACTGACTGTTTCCTCTAGTTCTGTAGGTCAGACGGAACTGATGGGACTTCAGGTGGACTACTGGGTGGCTCCGACAGAAAGGAAGAAAGACATGGAGAAGCGGGACTCCTCCTCCAAAAACACTCTGAAGTGCAATTTCCGCTCGCTGCAGGTCAGCCGGCTGCCACTGGGGGGCGCAGAGCCGAGCCCCCAGCCCACCATGTCCATGACTGTGGTGACCAAGGAGAAGAATAAGAAGGGTAAGCTGCTGCATGCATGATTCTTTGGATTTGTGGACTATGTGTTATCTTCTTTATATTCTTAAATGAATACTTCAGATCACAATTACACGTGCTACATTTTAAAGGCTCTATAATCTGGAGACAGTCATTAAGACACAATTTCTGTAGAAGAATGATATTCACAGGACTGCACGCAATCTGCTCAAATCCAGTCTTTTACAGTCTAGCCTCAAACGTTGCACCGAAAGGCCAAATGTCATTTAATCCTCAGAGACCAGAGAAATTCGGATCCCTCATTTGCTCACAGCGTGCATCTCTGTTGTTCCCTTCTGCCAGTCATGTTCCTGCCAAAAAAGAGCAAAGACAAGGAGGTAGAGTCGAAGAGTCAAGTGATCGAGGGCATCAGCCGGCTCATCTGCACTGCCAAGCAACAGCAGACCATGCTGAGAGGTACTTTTTTCATTACATCAAGAAATGGTCGATACCATTTTCATCTGAAAATAAAAGATACAATGAGAAAAAAAGATTTTACTAATATTTTCTTTTGGTTTATTTTTTTGTTTTCTGACCTGTGGAAATAGATGCTGCTCACTTACATTTTTTTTCCATTTCTAATGTTTCCTTATTGTTGAACAATAGTGTCATTTACCACCATGCTTAAAGCAACATTGTGTAAGATTTGGTATTTCTTGCACTTTGGTGCATCCAGTTGCAATAGCACTGTCATAAATATGGACAGCTGTATACGTGCATTTGTTATTATTACATGATTTATTACACAAAGATCGACAACTTTGCCAACACAGTCAAACATCAAGCAAGTGCAACAACACAAGACATCCAGCTAATGTTTCTTACTAGTCCAACAGCAAGAAGACCAGCTTGGCATCAATAAAGTCTTGTTGATATTATTAATCTGAATCTGGAAAGTAACTCATTCCTAAAGTTATCAAATAAAGTGGAGTAGAAAGTACAATATTTGCCTCTGAATATAGTGTGGTAGAAGCATAAAGTAGGATGGTTCAGGATAACAGTATCATTAACTCCATTAATAAAAGTGAAACTGTATAGTAATGTTTGTTTTCCTCCTCTGCAGTATTGATTGATGGCGTGGAGTGGAACGATGTCAAGTTTTTCCAGCTGGCGGCGCAGTGGTCCTCGCACGTCAAACACTTTCCCATCGGGATCTTTGGACACACAAAAGGCCCTTACTAGCAGCACCTAAGAGACTGAAACACTGAGGACAGCCCCCCTCCTCTCTTCCCTTTCCCTTGTGCCAACAGCTTTTAACCCCCCTCCTCCCTACTTTCCCCCTGCACACTTCTTCTATTCTATTGTCTTAATTTAAACTCCTGCTTTTATCGTTGCATTTGTCCAATTATTTAATCTTTTGCGTGTTTTTTTTTAATTTTCTATTTATGTAAAAACGTCTCGAGGCAATGCTGCCATGGGAATATTTCTTTACTCAGCTTTTTAAAAGAAGAAATCCTGCTGATGTTTTATAGACTTTTGAGAAGAAAAAAAAAACCTAATTAAATAATAATTAGAAATTACTTCTAACCTTTAACATACTGTATGAGTGCCCAGGTTTCACCCTCTGCCATCATTTTTTATTTTATTTGGTGAGGCACAGTACATTTAATCAAGAATATATTTAAAAAAACAAGAGCAGATGCCTTGTAATGAAGTGGAAGAGGTCATGGTCATCTTATTTCCCAACCATGATGAAGATATTTTTGGATTCTCAACTTCAGAGACTGTTGTCGATTTGTCGTCTTAATCCTGAAGAAGAAAAATTAAACGGCCCCAGACCTTTGGCTCTCTGCACTCAATGAAGAAGTCTAATGTGCAATAGGCTGAATACTGTGTGAATGCAATTCTGAATAATAACCTGGCACTGTTAGGAGATTACACACTGCTCTTAGTTGTGATTTTCAATCTATGTAACCCCCTCTTCTTCATTACTTTCTCCTTCTAGTAAATTGGCTTGAGGTTTGAAGAGTTTTTCTCCAAAGTGAGAAATGTAATTAGAAAAGTCAGACACACCTGCTTTTTAAGAAAATGATTAATAGCACAAAATTAACTACTTTATGGAAGGAATTACACACGTAAAGGAATACATTGGCATTTTGGGAAATACGTTTATTTGCTTTCTTGCCGGGAGATAGATGAGAAGATCAATAACGCTTTAAAGTCTGTACGGTAAATATAGGTAGAACCAGCAGCTTAGCTTAACGGGGGAAACAGCTAGCCGAGCTCTGCCCAAGGATAACAAGATCCTTACCAGCACCTCTAAAGCTAACTGATTATCATGTCATATCTTTAATCTGTACAAAAACAAAGAATAAAAACGACAAGTTGTGGTTGTATGGGGGGGTTTACAGGAAATAGTCCGGCACATAACCCACTGGAAAACCACAACTTGTCGTTTTTATGGTTTTTGTATGAATTACTCAAAAGGGAAATAAAATACGGACAGAGCTATGCAAGCTGTTTCCCCGTTTCCTGTCTTTATGCTAAGCTAAGCGAACCGGCTGCTTGCTAACAGCTAGCCTGGCTCTGATCAAAAGTAACAAAATCTGCCTACCAGCATCTGTAAAGCTCACTACTGTAATTCACACATTATATCTCCTTTGTTTGATTTGTTCAAATACTGAGCCAGACTAGCTGTTTCCCTGTTTCTAGGAATGGCTCAATACCACTTCTTCATGTCTGATACCAATACAGATACTGACACCTTGAGTATCCATCGATACTGATATCAGTCCGATCGAAAATCGATCGAAATCTTTTTTCAAAAGCCTCAAATCTTTTTTCAAAAGCCTCAAATCTTATCGGCTTTTAAATTAACTTCAACTTCGTGCCATTTCCTCTCGGTCTCTGACTGGACCGAATCAAAGGAGTAAAAGTTATATTGCTAGGGAGATATCGCCATCTATTACAGTATTATGGCATTGATTCACACGTAGCAGATTTGTCAGCAAAACATTAATTCTGTGAACTCTACTCCAGCATACTTCAGCAAAAACAGGTTTCAAGTTACACCTCATTTCTACCCTACCTATGTGAACTTAAAAATAGTAACATCATGCCTCTTTTTAGGTGGCAGGAGTGAAAATTTTGCATCCTCAACATTTGTTGTGTTTTACAGGATGATAATTTTTTCTGGGCAACTATGATGTTTTTCCCAAAGGATGTACAGATTTTTTAGGCATATTATCCCAACTGGCTTTAAAAACAGTGCATATAGCTGCTGCAAATGAGAAAAGATATCCCTGGGGAATCTGGGCTAAGCTCCGACTGTTTACAGTGTCTGGCTCTGCCCCTGATCAGCACTTCTCTACCTGTATCCAGTCTTTGTGCTAAACTAAACTAATCGCTGGCTGTAGCTTCATATTAACTCTCAGCAACAAAGCAAATACTCCCCAAAATGTCTATTTAAGCTTGGTATATATTTTAGATTTAGATTTTACAGAGTGGTTTCTCTGTATTAATTAGCTTGCTGACGTTTATTTTAGAAAGAACTCTTCGTCCCCAAGCCCCACACTCCTCTGACACACTCCATATCTTTTGCTAAAAGCAAATGTTACTTTTGCCAAAGGAATACTCATCAACTGCAGCTCACTCGTTACCTGTGTGGTATTATAGAAGACTTCATAATGTAGAGGTGAATGTATTGAAGGTACCTTAATGTAAAGCACTTTTAAATGTTTGTCCATTATAGAGTAGTGTGTTATAAACCTACCCGGGAACCTGCAGGTATGACTGACTGTGGTTCACAGAGGCACATGGACAGACACTGTATCTGTCTTTATATCTGAGCTGAACAACAGCACAAGCAGTGGTGTTCATGGCATAGTTTATATGCAAAGCAAACCAAGCACCTGCATCCTCTCAGTGCTGTGTAATATCACTTTATGCTCAGTGTGTAAGGCCTCGTTGGACTATTTAGATTTTAGTTTAATATTCTGTAAGGTTAGTCTAGAATGTGTTTGTGATGTTAATTCAAAAATCTTCTGTTATGTAGATTTTGCTCAATCTTTTGTTGACTGTTAAGCATAAAACTAAAAAAAAAAAGTATTTTGCTTATAAAAATTTTGTTCAGTAGCAGTTTCATCATAACCTTTGCCAATTTCTTGATAAGTGCCTAAATTGCTTAATTTTGACAAATCAACAGAAATCTTTTGTCCCTGGCTAACATGGTGCTGATACTGGTCTGACAACAACAGAATATCTCAATACAGTGCATTGATTTTTGCAGTTTAAACACATGCAGTCAAGCTTGTTAACTGGAGGTAGGGAGAATCACGCGCTGGACAGTCGGCTCTCAAACATGGGTTTTAAATAATTAAAAGAACAACACAGCCCATTAGTGTTGAGCATATATTTGTTTCTCTATATAGCAGATGTTTTAGATGTTTTGGTTTTTTTCATGTTGTCTCAGAGAAAGGCTTGTTGAAACTGAACGTTCCCTAAAGACTACCACTGTAATCCCAAAACTTGGAGTAATAAAACTACTATACACACTAAAATGTACTTTTCTTTCCGTGTGTGGGTTATTTAGTTGTTTCAAGGATCTGGGTGAAGTTAGTGTTGTACATAAGCATGAAAAAAGTAATGTGTTCATGATAACAATGTTACTTCCTGCCGTTAAAAGTGAGATTTGATATTGAAGCAGCAGTTTGAAAAACAGTCTCACCACAAAGTCCTTAGCTGTCAGTCATATCTCACGATCTTCATCAACAGAAACTGTACTTTAATGTTGCAGCTGGTAAATGTTGGGGCTAATTTTAATTACTTTATATACTCTTTAGTAATAGCCTATAACATATTTAATTAGTTGATCATATTATGAATAGCATAGTAAAAACTCCTTTGTTCCTTGTGCAGTAGCGATTAATTTGCATGTCATTTCTATGCATTTTTAGCATCCTATTTAAGCATATTACACAATAAATATACTATATATTGTATGTACAGGAATCATTGTTGTGTTTTGGCATGGTTTTGGTACTTTTGTGTTTGTCTGTACTTGTGTTGTTGTTGTTTTTTTTATTTGTCTGCCTCTGAATGCAAGTTGGGGATAATAATATTATGAATCTGTACATAGTAGCCTATATGAAGGTATTAAATAATCAGAATCAGAATCAGAAATACTTTAATAATCCCAGGGGGAAAGTATTTTTGTTACAAACTCCAGATATACAAGCAACATCTATTAAGAACTATAT